ACCTAGATAGGACAGAGGAGGCTGTTAGCTTTCCATAGGACTTTGGATCATCCCAAACGGGTTAGCGGTAGTGGAGTTATGGCTAGATAAAGCCGTAGTACTTAAGGACGGGCCCCTACTGTACCCGGGGATGAGATACTATCGATATGGTACATTCGATACGCTGTTCTGTCGACTGTGTACCGCTGCATACGGGGGTCATGTGACCGACCCCGCATGTCAGCCTGTAATTCCATTGTGCCCACTCTCGCCTCCCAGCGGCTGCACCCGCACGCCGCAAGGCGCCGCGCGCACCCACTGCGTGTACGGCCGCCCCGCGCCCGGCCAATCCGCAGGCCTGGGCCCACACTGCGCATCCGAAGAAGACGAGCGCCCCGCAAAGCCCGCCGGCCATCCGGCGGAGGGGGCCCCGCGGCCCCATCGGGCGCCTCGGCAGGAGCATCGCCCGCAAAAAGACCGAAAACCACGCCAGTTAGCCATGGCTGAGTTTGCAATGAACAACTCAAAAAACAATTCTACCCAAGAGACCCCGTTCTATTTGAACTACGGTCGACACCCAAAGAGTCCCTTAGCTCTTGGGGTGCAAATTTGGAAGCCTTTGAAGGGCTATGACAATCCGAATGCCCGTGGCTTGGCAGTGGCCATGGACAGGGCGCAGCAGCCTTATTTAAGGCATACTGGTACACTCCTCGTGGAGGGACTACCAGCTGTGACACGATTTGATCATCGTGTCCAATCAGCGCTGAAAGAGGCCAGGGCGTGCTTAGAAAAAGCACAAGATAGGCAATCAAAGCATGCAGACCGCCATCGGAGGGATGTGTTGTTTAACAAAGGAGATGACGTCCTCCTTTGGACACAACATATCACCCTCAAACACCCTGGAACTCAAAAACTATTACCGAGGTGGATTGGGCCCTTCACCATCCTTGACTGGATAGGTCCTGTCGCATATCGACTGGAACTTCCGGAAAGCATGCATAAGATACATCCAATATTTCATGTATCAAAGATTAAGCCGTATAAGGCCAGTGGCAGAGTGCAGCCACCTCCAGTCCCTATCGAAATCGAAGGGGAACTGGAATATGAAGTTGAACGCAGTTTGGATAAAAGAATTAAAAAGCGCGGAAGGCTCTAGAACTCGGTAGAATACCTCGTCAAATGGCTGGGATACGGACATGAGCATAATAGCTGGGAATCAGCAAAAACAGTTGCAAATGCACAGGAACTGGTTCAATCATTTGAAAATGGAAGAACTCTTGTTGTACATGTGTCAACTGATCGCGGTACGAAATGTACACGTTGAAATAAGCTCATGTGTGATTATGCCTTTGACAGGTCCTGCTGAAGTGGGCCCAGAAGCAGACTGGGTATACCGGGCCCCGTACTCGTACGCTGTTCGGACATATAAACGCAATGTCTGCAGCTATCTTGAACGGGGAATGTCTGGCCACTGAGCAGCCATTGATCCAACCTCCTCGAGAGCCCGTCTGTGCACATGGGCGAGGACGAGGTCCTTCATATTCTCGAGGTGGTCATGGTTGGGCAGCGGGTGGCCGCATGTATCGGGGTAGGGGACGTGCAGGGTGACCTGCATGTTCCACATCTTTTCCTTTGACGGACACAGGCCGGAAGGTCAGAACATTGCAGCCGAAGTGCTGAACGAAGAGTTTTAATGAGGGTTGTCAAAGGCCGGCAGGTCATGTAAAACAACCACTCTTTCTCTTCACCACAGTTGTATAGTTATCACGCAAACTGGGCATATGGCAAATCGCACAACCAGTTGCCGTGTACACACATAAGATTTCTGCTCTTGTATCCACGCATTGGGACGAGGACGCCCCACTCCCTGAGGGGGACGAATGTTACGCGCACCGGCCTGATGTGGGGGACGCTCTACTAATGGCCCTTGGTGTGGGGGACGCCCTGCCCAAGATAACTATCCTCAACCCATGGTAACCGTTCTAGGTATTAAGATACGGAAGTAAGAGGGGTGGTCCCGCCTAGGTCCCTGTAAGGACCTAGGTGCCCGGCAAGGCGGGTCCGCGGCTCAAAGAGGGCAGGAACCCCACACCCACATGCTTTACATATCACTTTTTCCCGGCCAAGCCGTGGCCGGTATTCTAGCCGAGCATAATAGCAATCCCCCTGCCCCACCGGCGCCATCACCACCGGCACGGTGTCCGCAACACTCACCTGAGGGTACTGACGCTATGGGGGCAACTGGCGGCGGGGGGCCCGGACGCAGCACTTCACATGCCCCAGGGGCAACACATCACATGCCAGCCAATCGAATGTACTGGGCTTGAGAACGCTTTGGGCGTACATTCTACCTGCGTGACGGACAACAACGATTTGAAGGGGTGCATGGATGTGCCACAGGGGCGACCAGCATGCACTGCTGAATCCATCAAAGGCCCAGGCAATCGCACCCCACGTCCGCCATGCATACCCGTTGCGCACTCAACCAGGCGTCTGGCCATCCGGTCTGGGAACGGGACCCGCTCTGCGGCTGTTATCCGTCACCTTTGCCAAAGTACAGGCCTCTGGGATTGCCCGTCTTACAGAATTTCAGTGGAACAGCGTTGGAATTTCTGTACTAGGGTTCAGTGCATTTCATAGGTCTGTGTTGCTCCGTAAACTTTGATGGAATTCTGTTGACCTCTGTGGTCTGGTCAGCGGTTCCGTTACGGGGGACCTATCCTCCGTTCACGCCGGCGAGGATTCCGTAACATGTGGTTCCATTCTGGAAGGTTGTGTGGATCTCTGTAGCCGTCTATGCTGACGTCAGCACGGCCCCGCCCGTTTCTGTTAGACAATTTTTCTCTCTGTGGCCCGCTCACAGATTCCGTTGACTGTACGGAATTTTAACGGAGCCAACCAAATTCTGTTGTGGACGGACAGAAGGGGCCATGTCTAATCGCCAACTGCAATGCTCCCTCTCTTGTGGCATGGGGCCGGGGCCAGGACTCGCGGGTGGCGCAACAGGCTAGGGAAGAATATGCGCATCGCAGGCGCCCAATCCCGCCACCCGTGGTGGCTTCAATTGGGCCCAACATGTGGCAGGATCTTGTGCCCACGCGGCGTCGTTTTTTGTCCAAGCCAAGGGTGCCCCATGGGCGCCCAATCCCACTATGCATGAGGGCTTTGATTGGCCCAAGCCAAGGGTGCCCCACCGGCGCCCAATCCCGCTATGCGTTGGGCTTTGATTGGCCCCTGCGGGTGGTTGGAGTGGGTGCCCGCCAGGCACGGGGGTTGACTACAATGACATGCGGCTCATGCTGAATACCCACTAAGATGATCAGTCCACTATGCAGAAGCTCTCCCCACGTTCTTGTCTGAGGGCAAGATGCACAGTTCCCCCCGATCGTCTCTGTGGCCTAGACCGACATCTGCCCCAGAGTCGTCGTCGTGGCCATTCAGTCGGTTTGACACAATTTGGCGAAATAGCTATGCGTGACTGGTTCAACGAGGTCTACCAGAGGACCCTGCATGCTTGGAATTGGTATCCACCCATGGCAAACGTGTTGGTGAGGGCCCTCAAGCTGGCGCAAGGATCCACCATAGTTAGGGTTTACTTTCCGGCGTCAGGCTGGTTCTGTGATGCCACACTGTCACAATCAGGCGGTGTACCACACGCATGTTGGGCAAAAATCGGGTGTTAGTGACAATGTTGCATCGTGTAGCCCTGAGAGGTCGATATCTCTGATGCGACTGGTGATGTGACATCTTTGGGAGTAGTCGGTGTCACCAGCTCGGTGACGAATTCTGCAGTTTGTTCCATTGTCCGCAAAGTCCTGGGCCTCATGGGGCGCCAGCTGAGCGAAATGTTTACTAACCTATCTTTAATGTTTTTCATTTTTATCATAGATTGGAGACCCGAACAGTATGCTTGGCGTCAATTTGATGCTTGGAGTGGGTGGGCGGGGGTTGGGAGACCATAGTTATGACGCTACGAGATAATGTAACTGCCACACAATTGACATGAAGAGGCAACAAGTGCACAAAAAGCTGCTGATTAGCAGGGAACAACTCACATGTTGTGTGGGAATTTTCCCAAAAAGAAGTCCCCACAATGCCACAATTGACGCCCACCAGGAATGTCCCCTTCACCCCCAATTACTATTTACATCCCATTCTCCAACTGATTATAACCCCAGCAATTCTGTTTGCTTGGGTTCCTTAAGGACCTCTTTAGGTTTGTGCAGCACTGTTGGATAATGCTGCTGAGCCATCCTGGCCACGACATAAGGATTAATGCTAAGGAAAAAGGAGGGAGGTGGGTGGGTTGGTGGGTGGGGTTGGGGCTAACATCAAATTGACGCTAAACATACCAAAGTCGACTAGTGTCTTCCCTAATTCAAACAAATCTGCCTACATGCATGCATGGGAATCAGAAACGAGCGGTTCAGCTGTGAGTCCTTTCAATCACATTGTGCTTCTTTCAGAGTCCCATACATTGTCAACCTGTTTCCATCCGGTGTAAGGAGTGCATGCTCCCCTTTGCGATGCGCACCAGCTCTTCCCTGCAAGAAGGAAATGGAAGCCAATCCCAAGAAGCATGGGAATGGTGAAAGGGGCAGTGTCTCATGCCAGCATATTTTCGCATATGGGGTTGTTCATCAGCAACGGTCAACATCTGCAAGAAACTATGGATAAGCAACGAATGTCATGAACATGAACGTCACGACGCTGTCAGGAACATCTGCAAGGCATTCTGACTTGGCCTTTTCTGAGGGAGTTCCTTCGTTTGGGTACCACATCGAAAAGCAGACAACATCCTGACTTGCAGTGTGGTTATGCACGCCACAGTGATACAAACGCCGTGACCAGTGTTGTCGAAACAGCAATTATACGAATTTGACTGAATGTTTGCAGGCCTACTCGCATCCATTTGATCGAATGTTTGCATGCCTACTCACATCCAACGCCAATGTCCATTAATCAGAACGAAAATTGCAACTCAAAATCTGCAGTCCCTGCACTCGCAAATGGGTGTGCTGTCAAGATTCGACTCCCGCAATGCCCCAGGGTCCCTGTGCATTCCCCTCCTGCTGAAGCTGCTTCATTAGATTGGCCATCTCTATCGCAGTGACCCCTGCCTCGTAGCCCTTGTTCCCTAATTTGCCACCCGCTCTGTCCATCGCCTTCAGCACAGCTTCAGAGTCAGTTGGGTGCCCATCCATAAAGGCAGCAACTGACAATTTAAAGAATTCCAATCCAGACAAATTCACACCACTACGGAACTACAAAGCTCCCTCTCTTGCATAACCCCACAGCACAGCATGGTTCCATTCATTTTCAGACTTGTAAGCACAACATTTTTTTCCATGCAACTTTATCATCATCCAAACAACACGACAATTCGCAAGAACGAACATATGGCAATCGCAAAAGTGTGTGCTAACGTGGCCACCATTTGAGAACATTGAGCTTCCTTCATAACCACAGGGCCAAACACACATGTAATTTTCTGCAATCTGATTCACAAAAAATGTGTCTACACCAGTACACAGCACACAGCACTGACACTGCAGATAGATGTCAGGGGGAGATTCAGTGCACAACTACCCACCTGCTCCATGGTTTCACATGTCAGCACACCAAAAATAACAGGAACGCCTGCAGTCCAACACAGAAATTATGCTTATAGCTCATGATCGACACCACTGCACATACACCTGAACTAAACAGATGTGCCACCAGTTTTTCATAGCAGAACCCGACTCAGCACAATTCAACATTTCCATCAGCAGCGATCCAGCACTTCAATTGCCAAGCTTCAACTACTAAAGGCAAGGCCTGCCATCGGGTTGAACGCCATCCTTTGACAATGCTGCCAAGAAGACAATGCCTACAAATTCAATTTACCAACTCAGTCATCATTCATGAGATTGTTGACCCGAAGACTGTGCGCAATTGCGAACACAACAGCAACGTGAGCAAGCACAGGTACAAGTTGCACTGGCCTGAAGATGTTTCCGGGCTTGACAAGGAATCTTGCCTTTTGAAGTAGTTAGGCCTTGCCTTTCCATGTCTGAATAGGGTGACAGGTGGACAGAAGTCAATAGTACAATGAGAAATGGGCACATGCTGTACTTGGCCTAGCAGTCCCCTGTCGACAATGGGTTTGTATCCTCTGTCGCCAGATGTCTACAAAAGCTCAAGAAGCTCAGGCAGTTGCATAATTTCCCAAACATCTGGGACAGATGGAGTCAGGTCCATGCAGTACTGCAGCAAATTCAGATATGAATGGATACTGAATGGGAAGATCTTCTGCTCGTCAGCAGTGAAGTGGTTTGCATGGATGGGCAGGCCAAATACACAATCATGGCAGGCGTCACACCTTTGACTACTTTGAAATGGGCAACGCTGCCCTGGCTGCACATACAGGAGATGGACAAAAGGTGTCCTGTGGCACACTGTGGCCCTCTAATCATACCTGTATCCAGGTTTGCACTCAATACGCCACTGTAGGCTGCTCCAGCCACAGCCTCATAATGCGTTGTGCTCCCGCGCACCTGTAAGTGTCAGACACTGAGGCAAATGCGCACGTATGCAACGCACAGCTGGTCTGCTGGGATCATTACCAAGCTGCTGGAGGTAGTCTCTCCTGATTATCACCGGGACCAAGACCAGTGAAACTCCTATGCTTTGTGGACCAATGTAGACCAGGTTTGGATTCAAAGCATGTGTCGAAACTGCACTTCTGTTGTTGATTGCCAGCATCAAATGGCAACACAGGCGGTTAGAGCATGTGCTGATGCCTACACATGTCAAGCAGAATCTGCATTTTTTTTTTTTTTTTGTGGGGCCGTTCAGTGTACATCTTGAAAGACACACAGTGGACAGTGTGTTCCTATGGGGTGATGTGCAGGATTTTCCCATGACTATCACAGTGTGCCATGAGTTTTACTCTTTCAGCAATTGCGCTCGATCGGGAATCACGCTTTGGTCCCATACCACGGCTCCTATGCAGATGATGGCATCGTATTTGTTGGTCCTCGCCATGCTCTTCGCAACAAGAGGGAGTTCAAAGCTTCCCGGAACCCAAGCCACCTGGCGTGCAAGCCAACTAATGCCACAATCAGAAAAACTATGACACATCAGAGGCAAGCATGTTTCGAACAATAAGATATGCGACGCTTCCCCACACTGCTGAAGATGCTCCAAAGTCTCCGTCTGTGAGCAAACGAGCAGGCCGCAGGCTTGCAACTCGGCCGCAGTCGCGCTTCATCCACCGCAGCTTCCAAAACAACCGCCTATCAACATCCTGTCAAATTCCAACCCCATCACGTGCCCTTGGGTGCAAACCTGCCTGGGAGTCCACCGCGGAGACGCCTCCGTGGCGATCGATCGCCGCCAGCGCGCCAGCGAGCAAGGGCCTCGTGACTATGTCATTGAACTTCGCCACGACTATGCCAAATTTCAGGCCATTGGCATCCAATCTGCCCTCGACGCCCTCCGCCCTGCACACAATTCTTCGCCACCCTGTTCCAGGGGTGCCATGCAGCGCCGGTCTGCCGCTGCCACGCCAGCACCGAATCCTTGCTGCCTGGCGATTGGGCGGCCGGGCAGGGTGCGGATGGCAACGGAGTTTCTCACAGAGCCTGCGATGCCCTGTGGTGCTTAGGCGCGGTGCGAGTGGGCGCGCTTGCGGGCCTGGGACTTGTTGAGCTGAGGGCTTGCGGCGGGCGAGCGGCCCCCCGTGCCCCCACTGCATCGGTGATCGCTTGCCCAGGGGCCAGCAACACACAAAAGAGATGTCCTGCCGACCCTATCCATCGGCCCAAAGGTCACGACCAGCACACATAGTCGGCCAAAAAAACAGCAAGAATGACACGCGCATGGTCCCCCCCCCAAAGGGGTAAAAAAACAAAGAAAACAACATAGCCACCGAGCACCTGCCGTCTGGAGCCAACAAAACTGGAGCCGACGCAATATCGTTCGGGCACCAAAAACCGTCGCGCAGTCAGTCGCCCATCATTCACCCCAAGAAACAGTAAAAAGGACACATCCAGGGCGCACGGTTGGCGAGAGCCAACAAAGCCCAAACCGGCACAACGTTGTCAGTTCCCCAATCCGCCCCCCCATCACCAGATTCCTGGGTTCCTGCTGCTTCCGGCCCCCACCCCCCCTCCTCTATCCTACTCCTACCGCCGCCGCCCGCCTTGATCAGTAAGGCATCACCCACCCACTGTTGCCCGGCCCGCAGGTGTGTGTCGCGCCCAACACCGTGCTGCACCCCGCGCCGGCGGAGCGAGCCCGAACACACGGCCCTCGACTCCCCACCATGGTGGGGAGCCCGCTCAAGAGGCGCTCGACCCCCGGCATGAGCGGGATGCGGTCCATCACGTTCCGGGGCGGCAAGGACGGGGCGGGCAAGGGGCGGGAGGAGAGCATGTGGACCAAGCTGTCCGCGCTGCACGAAGGTAATCGGCGGGCATGCGGCAAAAGAGGGGCTGTGGGGACTGGCAAGGTGGCGAACGGGGGGGGGACCCGTGGGGATCGAACGGGGATGGTGGAACTTGGGGAGTGTCGGGATTTAATATCCTCGCCCGGTCGCTGGTGGGGGTTGGGCCCGGCTGGGGGCTTGGCCGCCCGTTGAGGCGATTGCGGCCGCTGGAGGCGATGTTTGGGCGCGGCTTTTGCGGCATGTGGGCGGGGAGGGCGTGTGTTTCTTTCCAGGCCGTGGTAGGCGCTCCCACGTTTATCGTAGCTGCGACAACGGGCCCCTGTCGTCGAGCGGGCCCGTCGCGGGACAGACTCGCGGCCGGCGGCCCGAAAAAAATGCGCGCGGCGATCCCGGCGGATGATTCGCTTCGGAAACGGGCGGAGTTCTGCAATTTCTTGTGGGGTCAGCGTCACCGGAAAACCTCACTCGGCTGGGCGTCGTCAGCGCCTTTTGTGTGGGCAACTTGGATTCCTCCCACGGTCCTATTTGGCATGCTTGCTCGCTGTTGGCGGGGATGTGTCGGACTTAGGCGTCGTTGGAGAGCCGTGTAGCAGCCTGTCTCTTGTCGAAATTGCCGTGGCACCTGTGCGGTAGCCGCCGGTGTGGCGCGGGGAGTGGGCGCTGTCGCTCGAAAGCGTGGGCGAGCGCGCAACGCTGCCGATTCCAGCGCCACCGTTTGCCTGCCCCAGCTGAAGCCCAACCGTTCCCCCTGTCTCAAATTCGCCCGGCCCCAGAAGAGTGTTCAGTGCCGGAAATGAAGGCTTTTGTTTTGCTTCGCTGGCAGGCTCGATCCCGAGCGCCTACTTCTGTTGCTTATTGTGTTGGATTTGTATCCACGTTGGTGCGGCATCCTGCGCACAGGCTCCGCGCTGCGAAATTGGTTCCAACAGGAGATCAGTGGTTTGCATCTGGGGTCACTTGGGGGAGAGTGAGCCAAATATTGCACTCCCACGGCCAGCAGTTACTCCAACAGAAACTGGGCAGTCCCGTTCTTTGGGGGGAGTCCTGGTCCATACTGAACTCGGCGCGATGTGGTGAAGATCGGCACCACTTGCGCACTGCAAGGCTGTTTGTTGGCATCCATCCCTCCTTGCTCTCCAGAAGCAGCCTCTACCATGGAGTTTGCAAACAGCGTTCATCAGCAGGAGCGTAGCCTGATTCTCCTGGTGGTGACTGGCAAATTAGCACCAAAAAAGACTGCAGGGCCGCACAGCCCTTCCTCTCCCGTTCTTTTTCTCTCAAGGTACAAACAACTTCGCCTGCATCATAGCATTAGCCGCGATGGACTTGTGAACCCAGTCCACATTTGTTGCTGTGGCACTCACCGGGAGTTCAGGAATGTGGGAATTTCAGGGCATAGCACTATGGCTACACACACCTGCGCCGATGTTTCCGACGCTTTTCCTTCACATCCGCAGCAGCTGTTTCTTTGGTGCGCGATGCTCTGGTGCTGGAAGTGTGAATGTCCTGGAGGTTTCCCTCATGCAACTTTGGTGCAGCAAGGTATGTGTGGCACTTGTGATCTGTCTGTCCAGCAGTACTTTGTGTGTTTTGGAAACCGTTGAAAGCAACCCTTCCACCAGCATGAAAACAGGGAGGGTGGGTCACTTATGGAGGGTGAGCAGTCCAGCGATTAAGCATGCTGTTCTTAAGGGTCCCTCTGCCACAAAGAACCAAATGATGTAAAACAAGGTGGAAGCTAACTCGATCAGCAAACAAGAACGGACTGTGAGCAGTCCAGCGATCAAGCATGCTGTTCCCCAAGGGTCGCTCTGCGACAAAGAACCAGATGATGCAAAACAACGTGGAAGCTAACTCGATCAGCGAACAAGAACGGACTGAGAGGGGAAGTGTGCTCAACAGCCTCCCCCCCTCTGCCTCAGTTTCACATTAGTTTCTTGAAACTTTCGAAACGAAGTTTGGTCACTCCGGCTGCCATTACCAGCAGCCCTTCTGCCTGAATTTCCACGCCAGCGAGGCACGTTACCACACCCTGTACTGCCCCTGCAGCGTTTCTGTCACCTCCAATGCGGGCCTCGTCCCCACAACGCCCGCTCCCATACAGATTCAGCCCGGATCTCGCACGCCATGCACGGATGAGCCGAGCAACAGGCATCGAACTTGCATCCCACCTGCATCCCCCGTACCGCCACCCACACCCCATCCAAGGCGCCCCCAGGCGTCCGCCAGGGTCCCTCGGCGACGCCTGCAGTCGCACTTGCTGGTTTCTGAAACCCATGGTGGGCTCGTGGGCCCAATTTGGGGCGCATCAAATCGTGCCGAGTACAGCATGGTAAGCCGCAGGCCTCGTGCGAAGCCTGACGGGAAGGCCCGCGGGGCCCCGTCCCCCGTGCACTGAAGTACGCCGCGGTCCCGTGGGCGTCATTTTCGCTCGGCAGCCCGCAGCCCTCGTTCGTGCGCGGGGTCCGTTCACTCGTGAGAATCGAGCGGCCTCGACCTTTGCCTTTGCCGCGGCGGATCCTTGCCTCCGTGCCGGCAACTCCTGGGCGCCACTCCACACCCTTAACATCCCCGCGTGGATCGCCGAGGCCGCCTTTCATTGCTTTCTTTCGCGCATTCAGCATCAGCCTGAGATCCACCCCATCCCCCGTCACGCCCCTTCCCCTGATCACGTTCGGATCGACCCGTCCCGGCCAGAATACAAAGGCGCAGGATCGGGCGGAGAATCCTTTTCCGACGGCTGGCCGCACGCGCGCCTGAATTGGGGTTGGCTTTTTGGGACCAGCCATGCCGATGCACCTGCGGTTCGGCAAGCCCAAGCTGCGGTCGCCCGCGGAGCTGGTGGCCAAGACGAACGCTGCGCTGGGCGTGCTGACGTCCGTGCAGAAGGACCGGGCCGTGGACAAGGCGGTCGAAGACGTCGGACGCTACGTGGAGCAGATGAAGGTCCATGTCTTCGGCAACGACGACCACCCGGCGTCTAAGGAGAACGTGCTGGCCCTGGCGGAGGAGGTGTGCAACCAGGGTCTGCTGCTGGGGCTGTGCCAGTGTCTGGGGGAGCTGGAGTTCGAGTCGCGGAAGGACGCGGCGCTGGTGGTGGGGGCGCTGGTGCGGGTTAGCGACGACGACGACCGGTTCCCCGCGGTGGAGTACGTGAAGGAGCACTCCGTGATCCTGGAGTGCCTGTTCAGCGGGTGGGTGGGGCGCGCGCCGCGGCTTGGATGGCTCTGGTTTTCGTATGGGGTTGTCGCGGGAGCGCGTTTGGGTGGTGTGTCCTGTTCTGCCCTCCTAGATTCTTCGTTTGCGACTCGTGACTTGTGATTCCTGACAAGTGACCTGTGACTTGTGATTCCTGACCTCTGATTTGTAACCTGTGAGGTTGTCTTTTTGGCGGAGGGGAATTGGTTCGCAGTATCGGCCCACCTGGCGCCGACTTGGGCAGTGTTCTCACTGGTGCCTGTGGCCCGCAGGTACAAGGACCAGACGATCGCCCTGAGCTGCGGGAGCATGCTGCGGGACTGCATTCGGCACAAGAGGCTGGCAAGGTGCGATTGCTGCCAGGCAGTTCGTGTCTCAACATGAGCCCCTGGCCTCGTCTTGTGTCCTTTCTTGTTCTTTCTGCCTTTTATGTTTGGATTCTTTATCTTTTCTTTTGCTTTGTTGCAAAGGGGATAAGGCGATGTTGGATGCCTGTCATTACCCCAAGCAGCCCCAGTTGCCTATGGTGCTGGCACTTGCCAGATTCAGCAGAGGCCATGTGCCGTTGATTGTCCACCTCACAAAGTGCATTGTGGTCTGCATCTGTGTCACAGGCGCGTGTTGCACAGTGAGTGGGTCCTGCAGTTCTTTGTGGAGATCGAAGAACGCAAGTTTGAGGTTTCTTCCGACGCTTTTGTCACCTTCAGGGTAAGTGCCAGGGTGGTTGTGAAAGCCCAGCATGGCAACCAGAGCCTGCTGACTGCAAACTGCACATTTGTGCCGCTGCTGGTGCGATGGGGCAGCGCAGAAGCCTTTTGAGTTTTTGATGACAATGTGATGACCACACAGTGATGGCTTCGTGCTGGTTGACGACTGTCCCATTCTTCATGTTGCAGGACCTCCTGACACGACACAAGGATCTTGTTGCACAGTTCCTGGATGAAAAATTCGACGAGGTATGAAGGTAGTTGGGGTGTTCGCTGCCGGCCATTAATTCAACATTGGCTCAAACCCCGGAATTGCATTGTTCCTATCAGATGAATTGACCCTAGTTGAAGGACTGAGGGCATACAGTGTTGTTCATGCCTGAGTTGTAAATGTTTTCCTTGCACAGTCCGAATGCACAATCTGCCGGCAGTTGGTCACCAACCCTGAAATTAGTGGGTGCATCCACATGAAATGTTGGTGTAAAAGCTGTCCCTGCCCTGTTTGCTGCGTTGATAACTGCTTCCCCATACCAAGAGTAGGTTCAGGTTGTGAATGTGTTTTATCAATGAGTGCATGGCTGACACCAGTCAAGAAGGATTGAAGCATAATTTTGCTGGGCATGCAGCATAATGAATAGCCACACTGTGGGACTTGCAAACAATGTCTTTTGGCCTGCACGTATTTGCTGAGTTCATTCAAGTCTCAAACTGGCAGCTCCTTCCCCTTAGTGGCAGGCCATCAAGTTCTCCAATCCCATAGAATAGAATGCACGAAGTGCGCACCTGCTGGTTGTTCTGTTGACTTCATTTGTCAAAAGGACTTGACAAACAAAAGGCTTGCATTTGTAGGGTGATGGTGAGCAGACATGCAACTCTGGTCTTCTCTGTGTGCTTGCTTGCTCCTTTGCAGTTGTATGTTTTCTGTGGGTTGGGCTTTACCTGTGCTCAAAAGCATTGAATTTTTGTAGGAGTGACACACCGTGTCTTGCCGGTTTGCAGTTCTTCCCCAGGTACAACCAATGTTTGCGATCTAAAAACTACGTGACCCGAAGGCAGCTTCTGAAGGTGTGGCACTATCCTGCCTATCGATTGGTACACCAGTAGTGTCTGGGATGAATTGGTTTTGTGCTCCCCACTTGTTGAGCATTGCTGTATAAGAAAGAAACTATTTGCTCGCTCGCCATGGCAAGTTTTGTTAACCCGTCTTGCCACTGTGCAAGTGGACCAGTAAGCAAGTCTCCAAACAGTGTGGCAACAGAGACCAGTGCAGAGAACAAGGGACATGAGTTCAGGGTGCTCGAGCTAGTGCAGGAAGCGATGATTTTGGTAAAGGGAGTTCTTCAGATTAAACCAGTCTGCGGATCTTTGAATGTGCTCTGAGGTTGCCAGTGGGTACATTTGTTCCGGTGCAGCGATTGGAGTGCTGCTGTGGGCTTAGAGGGTGCCTGGTCCTTTGCCATCCGATGGTGGATGTAATGGAGAATTTGTGTTGCCATGCAACTCCCCATTGCCCCTTATATCCACTTTGACTGGATATGTCTCACAAACGAGTCGTAAAGGTGTCTGGAAAGAATGGCTTCTTCTGACGCCTTTGTGTCCTTTGCAGCTGCTGGGTGAGCTCTTGCTTGATCCTGCAAACGTGGCAGTCATGCTGCGTTACGTGGGCGACGTTCAGAACTTGATATTGATGATGACGTTGCTCAAGGACGAGTACTCGAGCATACAGTATGAGGCGTTCCATGTCTTCAAGGTGAGGCGTTGCTGCCAGTGTGAGTTTTTCTTTGTCTGCCAGTTTTTCTGAGGAGTGGACTGGCAGAGTGCATTCCTATGCATTGTTGCCTCTGTTGTTGATTTTGAGTTGAAAGGGCACATGTGGTAATGGGGTCTTGCAACATGGTAAATTCTTCTTTGGATATCCCATGGGCATGGGGATGATCTCAACAAGTCGTTGACAATGGGAGCTACTCTGGAAAATAGCCTGCACAAGTCACTGTGAGGGGCTATGTTGTGCAACAACAGCGATTGGTGGTTGATTGGCTGGCTGCCCTCTGCCCCTTCTGCACTTTTTTTGAACCATAGTTTCAATGTTTTGGCGGCCCTATACATGTCTCTTCTGTCCCTTTGTTCATGTGTAGATTCAGGCCTTTGCTTGAGCACTTGTAGCTCATAGCAGCAGGCAGTGCCAGAGCAGGGGTCCAAAGCTTTCCTAGTACTTACTGACTTCTCACCTAGTCTTTTGACAGGTTGGGGAGCCTGCCACCCAGAAAGCGGACTGCAAGTAATTTTGGGTTCGATCGTTGGATGGGGAGTAGAAAATGGGTTGTAGCTCCATTGTTCGTTTCCCTGAATATGTGAAAGAGGGAAAAGAGACAAAGAAAAGGGCTACAAGCAGCTCTCAAGGGAACGCTTTGCTCTAAATGGGCATTTGATATATGTTGAAGAAGAACTGGTCGTTGAGCGCCTAATAAACGGGCTGTGGGCTCCAGAAAGAAGGTTGAAATTACAAGCTGCAACCACGGGGCTGGAAACACATAAAGGGATTGTCTACTAAAACAGAAGACCTTGACATTGTTGTCTGTTGAGACTGATTGGTTGAGGTATGCAGTGGAGCCAAGTGCGATTGGATGTTGGTGTTGGCAGGTTTTCGTGGCAAACCCGAACAAACCGCAGGCTGTTGTGGATATCCTGTCGAATAACAAGGCCAAGCTCCTCAGATTTCTTGGTAACTTTCATGACGACCAAGGTGAGACCTTATTGAGCTTTCATGACTGAGTTTTGAAACAACGTTTTGCCAGCATGCCTTGGTTGGATGAGTGGCTATGGGGACACACAGGGCGCTTGAAAATGGAGCCTTTAGGGGCCCTTGGCAGGCTACTAAAGGAAGTGTGCTCCAGCACAGCATGCAGCCACAACAGTTGCAGTGTGATGTGCTGTTGGCACTTTGCATATGGTCTGTGCATCAATGTCTGTCTGTCTGTTATGGTTGTTACCCAACGTACGTGCTTGGCAGATAGTGTAGGAACATGCCAAGGTCCCCATACAACATGCAGCACGTATCGTGTACGAGTGCCAGGAAATATCGTGCAAGATGTTGGCCAGGTTGGGCTTGCATTGTTATTGAGCACATCACAGGAAGTCGCAACAGTGACGAGCGTCATCCCCAACAACTGCAAACGCGTGCGTTGCAAGTGTGTGCGCCCACGTGCATGCACAACTTCTTCCTGCCCACAATCGTGAGATAAGGATAGATCAGGCGATGCTTGTCAGTGTATGGGTGGTTGGGCTGCTGTGCGTGAAGTAGGCCCCTGCGACACGTGCTTGGGTTTGCTTCGAGACTGCCAATATTGAAGAATGTACTGCTGGGTTAGTATCGTTTGTCAGCACTTAATGAGTGGATGTTTTCGCACATGTTGATTCATGTTGGATGTGGGCGTTTTTTTTTCGGAGAGGGGGTGTGTTGGTGAGCTGCTTCACGCCGCCGTACCTTCTCACTTCCGTTAGCCAATCGCTCCCCATCAGAGATAGTCGCTGGCGACAGCTGGACCAAAGCGTACAGTTGAGATCGCACTGCTGTAGCTCAGCTCAGCACATGACACTTTACTGATGTGCCTATCACAGTCATTTTGTACAGGTTCTAAGGGAAGGCATTATGTCGATTTTGGTACGCTTAGCGTCAAGTTGACGCTAAGGAAGGGGGGTGGGTCCAGACCTGTGGCGCTAAGAGATTATGTAATTGCCTAAAAATCGACATAAGGAAAGAAGGTGCCCAAAAACGCCACTGATAAGCAGCAAACAACCCGTGACTTGTTCCTAAGCCTTGATGTGTTCGATCGTTAAAGAAGGCCTTAGAATGTCTTAGAATGGATCAACTTGCAGCCATTGAGGCTGCCCACCGAGCATATGACGGCATTTAGAATTCCATATTTGAACCCACTGATACCAGTACAAATTTGATTGTTTTTTTCGCCTCAAACCACTTCAAAGTTGTGTACCACTGTCGGGTAATGTTGCTGAGCCACCCTTGCATCGACATGAGGATTGACGCTGGTGTGTGTGTTTGTGTGTGTGTCTCTCTCTCTCTGAGCTTGCATCAAATTGACGCTAAGCGTACCAAAATCGGCATAGCATCTTCCCTAACTGGCTCGGAATTTGCTTTCATTTGGTGTAAGTGGTCCCTTTCTTTAGACATCTGCTGCTGTCCATTGCGTGTTCAATCGGAAGCCCTGTGCTCAGTCACTGGCCGTTACAAGGGCACCAAGAAGCTCATGCTGACTTGTTAATGCTCGAAATGGAACCATCACAATCATTGTGACCGTGGTTGTTTGGCTGCTGCGCCAGTTGCCTCTGAAGAGGAAGAGACCCAGTTCAGGAACGAAAAGGGACTCGTCATCCAGGAGATCACTAATCTTGGCGTGGAGAAAAAGAATGGGCAGGCATAGGCCGGGCTTGGGAGGGGAGTGCGTGGCGATTAGTAGAAGAGAGGTTGGGAAGTGTACGTGCACACGAGTCAGAGACTGAAGGCTCTGGCAGGGGGTCCGTAATCCCTCGCGGGCATGCACTTAGGCTGGAGACGTTGGATTATTTATCGGCCGCACCGTCAGGGAAGTGTTCACTGGGATTGGTAGTTACAGATTCATCTGCAGGTTTTGGCGTTAGGTTGCCAGTGCCCTCCTTTTGGTGCTGCGTGGCAAGCAGGGCTGCTGTAGTGCTCATTCCTTATTTTGTTTCATTGAGCGTCCAGGGCGCGGCAGGTGGGCGTGTCGATGCGTTTGTGCTCAAGGATGATCGCCGTTTGTGAGTTGAGGATGGACCAGCTTGGTGGTGAGCCGCTTGTGCGGGAGGCAACGCTGCAGGCCGTTGTAAATTGCGCCGGTTTTGGTTTGGCTATGATCTGGTCCGCGTGTCATCAGCCTGGGCCCCAGCCCAGGCCCTGGGGCATTGGCCCACCGAGCGTTCAGGCACGCATATGTGTGCCTGTCCGACGTTGCCTGACGAAAGACTCCATGTGCCTGCTCGAATCTCTGACAGGTACAAGCAGAGAAAATGTAGTCCGTTTTGCGTTGCCTTGTTCTGGCCTACATTTCGTTGTGCTGATCAGTTGGGTGACCTGATAGTGCGGCACCGCACCGAAATGGCACTTTTTGCATTTGGTCGACCTGGTTCAGACCTGTTAGAACATGCAGCTGCTGTCTCTGCCGGATTCCTGGCTGCCCACAGTGTGCTGTTACCCATGTGGCTGCCGCAAGAGAAGTGACAGCATCGCTGAATGTGAATTCAACACTAAGAGATGCCGACGGCGACCAGGTTTGCGCTCCGATTTCGATGGCTTGGTCCCACGTCTGATGGTTTCCCTGTGCTGCACGTGTTCCTCTGCCCAAGAGTCCTGTGGGAGAACTCGACACAACAGAGGCCGCGTCTTGCGCAACGGGGCCAATACCTTTGCTCGTGGTGTGGTGGCAACTCTAAAAAACTTGAAGATGTTGCAGATCTCCGGCACCGTGCATCAAGCTTCTCCCAATGTGCGGCATCCACAGAGGTGAACGGGGTATTGTACTCTTGTACGACGGGGCTCTCCCAAGTTGTCCCAACGCCCGGATTTCCTCGCTTCCATTCGTCGAGGCACAATCCAACTCGATGCGCAGCACACACACCGTCGCGATACCATGCGCCCTCCATTGCTCAGCTGAGCAACACATAATGGCAATTGACACGGACATCCCCCAACTAAGGGCAAAGCATCCACACAAGGCCCTGGTAGCAGGACGGTCTGGCGAGCCCCACCAGATGCCAACAATCCACATCATCAACAGGGTCCAGACGGCCTCCTCAAGCGCCAAGGGGCGTGCGGCGGTTGCACTGCAACCCCCCAAGGGCAAGAGCCCACCCACAGCAGGCACCCATATTTTACACACCAAACGCCGAAAATTCCAGCACCCGCGCTTTACATGGCAGTCCTCAAAACTTGGACATATTCAACACGACCGAATATCCTCTCTTGTTGATAGCAGGCTTTTCATCGTGGCGACACGGTGATGTTTTCGGGCTTCTCGGTGAGGGTTCCCTTCCTGAGCTCCTGGATGGTCTCCAGCGGCCATGCAAAGCCACTCAGTAGGCACTGGAACGCCAGGGGGACATCAATGATGATCTCCTTCTGGGTGGGAGACTTCTCTCCCCTGGTCTTCGCCAGGTAGTCGCGGCCAGTGTAGCCGATGTAGCCCGCTATGTACACGAACAAGGCAGCCGGGATCTGTACACAGGGGCACACGCGGATCAGCAAGCCATGTGAGGCAGTGTGCGATGGTGTCACCCCTGTAGTCCCTGCAGTCAATACACAAGGCCCCAATAGAGCTGCTGATGTCTGTGACCCTGATGCAGCCTGGCGACATAAACTTTTCAAACTAAAAGATCTTGATCCTTCCTTATCATGCCATTGTGCTCAACATCGTTACATTTTTCACAAAGCAGTGCGGTGGCACCAACTATGACAGAAATCAAACCAGAGCACTGTTACTATCCTTGCTATTCCACTACACAACCAGTAGTTACCCAGGGCCTCCCAAGGAGGATCTGATGGGCACTGCAAACGACTTGGCGGGTATGCTCTGTATTATGATCTCCGTGTTTGAACTGTAGCTCAAGACTATTCCTGAACAGGAACCAACACATTTAAAGCCAGACACCCAGCGAAGATCGACTACTTACGACGATGTCACCAGCATGGCCGTATTTCAATGCGAAGCCTGGATCGGCGATGAGGTGGGGGAGGCCATCGGCGCCACACAGCAGGCCGGACTTCCCGTAGAAGTCAAACCTCTTGTTGGTCTTGTCCATGGTGGCCTGCAGGGCGATGGCGGGTGCGCTGTCGGCCTCGTACTGCACAGCCCCCAACAGGCAACACATTCAATACCCCTATGCACTGACTTGCGTTGCCCACCATGCAATTGCGTTGCGTGTCCCGAGGGTGCAGAACAGGGCCAGAACCCTCATCTTGCAAAGGCAATCCTGTCTTCTGAGCATCAGACAAAGCAGGCCCAATATCGCCAGCTGGTGCTACACAACACGTTTCTGGTCAGACGCCCACGGAGTTCAAAGCACTACAACAACCCACTCAACAAGCATGCAGAGCGGCGAAAGGACAGCCGCATTTGCGACTGCTGCCAATCAGCGCAGGGCCCGAACACCTCCCCTGGGTTCAGACCGCCGACGGGCTAGCCGCCCCAGCGCCGTGGTCAGCTCGTAGGGCCAATGAGCTGACAAACTCAGACCGGCACCCAGCCAACTGTCTCGGCCTCGCGTACAAGACTCCAATCGCCCGTCACCCGCCCCACCTTGGCCATCCGCTTCTCCAGGCCGGAAATCTGCTTGGCCTTCCTCCTCTGGAACGCCTTGCTCTCCGCGCACGGCGTCAGGCCGGAGATGTCCGCGTAGGCGGCGTCCACGGCGCCGAAGCTGACGACCGCAGCCAGGGCGGCCGCGGCAACGGTGCCGGCGATGGCCTTGGCGCTGTCGTCCTTCTGCGCGGAGCAGGTCACGGGCCTGGCGACGCGGGAGGCCTTGGAGGCCTGGGGGGCGACCTTCAGGGGCTTGAACATCTTCGAGGCCTGCAAGCGGTTATCAAACGTCGGCATTCGACCACAATGTGGCAAAGGAGGCAGCTGGGTGAACACCGGAGAGGGCAACGGTGTATGCCTTTGGCCATGTCTGGGTACACACCAGGGCCTCGTCGCGTTCATGGATCAACGCAATCCTAACAACTCAGCGCAAACTTTACGGTCAATGCAATTGACCCAACGGCCAGCGCTGCCAGACTCGCGAGGCTTTGATCGCGACAACCGCGATCGGCCTTCCCAGGGGCAACGCCGCTGATCCCACAGACAGGCCGTTCACCCACAGAGGGAGGGGGGGATAAACAGGTCGGTCCAGAGGTGCCCCACGCTCTGCGGAGACTCCGACACCTCCACGACCCCGCGCGTGGACGGTGCCCACGGCAGCCCACCCGCCGCCAGCGATCGCCCTCCCAGGCGATCATCACCGCCCCAGCCGTCCTCAACCACGCAAAGCTCGCGACAACCAACCGCCCGCGGAGCAGCAATGATGCCCATCACGCCTCAATCCACGGACCAATGCTCCCATAGGACCCCATTCCAAACGCAGCCCGCCCCACACCGCCACCAAGTGCCCACACGCCCGTCTTTCTACGCCAAGCATGCGCCTTGCGTCCACAGCTTGTCAACTGCCGTTGTGCAGACGCCGAGTTGTGTTCCCCGGGGCTCGCCTACCTGGCCGCACGGAGAGGACGCGCAAAAGGAGGTCGCCATGGCTGCCCTTCCGGCCGGGTGGCTGCCCTGTGACGCTGCTCCGGGAGCCTGGCCTGGTGCGCGGGGCGGTGGTGGGGGGTGTGGCAAGCGCAGGCTGTGGACGTGGGGCAATCTCTCCCTCAACAGTGATCCAGGCCCTGGCGGGGCGAGATCTGGGGAGGGGTGGCGGGAATCTGCGGCCATAACTACTACCTAGGTTGGGGTCGGTCGGCTAGGACATGACAACGTGTTGCAATGTACTGCTAAAGTCTTGTTTGGATTTAAAATTGCCTTTGAAAGTCCAAGGGGTGCCCTTCCGCTGCGGCTGCAGAGGGAGACTGGCGGGTTCCGAAGGCCGCAGGGCGCGCATAGCACATTTGGGAGGGCTGGCAGTAGTGGGGTGCTCGGTGGCCCTGCCAGTGGTGGCCCCATCTTGCGCACCCGACGAAAGATTGGTGATTGGGGTACTCGCTACTGTGGGTAATGCTTTTGGAGCAAACAGAGGGTAGGGTGGGTGGCACGTCCCATTGTTGTACTTTGCAGCAAGCCGTTGCCATCACTCATCACATTGACGTCCCCATTTCAAACAGGGCGGGAAGTCGCTGCCGCACAAACATGCAGGCCACGCAGGTCGCACATGACAAGCCATCCATACATCTTGCATCAGATGCGGGGATTCCGATACACTAGTAAAAGACAGGCCAGTGACACAGTTGTTAATCCCATTTACTTTCGGCAAAGCAGTACACAGTTAGTACACAATTGACACACTCTTAACCGTGCATCCTAGGAAACTGTGTAGTCTACACAGTTGTTTGAGGGTACACGGTTGAAACTGTGTCAATGTGTGTACTAACTGTGTACTTTTGGGACCACATTTGCCGAAAGTACACAGTTGGATTTTGAGCAAACCGTGTCAGGACTGTCATCTGGCCTGTTTTTTCCTAGTGATAGTGAGGGTAGATGTGGGGATTTTTAGTTACCAAGAGATGGGCACAGTTTTCATACGTGTCAAATCCTCAGAAATCGGCCGATCGCTGAGGGTTCGACGCTTCAGAAAATTGTGAAAATGCGGTCGTGGCCGTAGTTTCCACATTCCAAACATGAAGGTCATACATCTGGAAGCCTCGGGAATGCAGCTGCAACCTCTAACCTACACCGGAAACAATGCCACCCAAAAATTATTTGAATTTGCGCGAACTGGTAGCATTTTACCAAGGTTGAACCATATACGCGCGATCTCTTGTAGCTGCTTAACACAAGTGAATCATAGCCTAAAACTGTGTGAAATGTGGCATTTCTGCAATTGCCATGTCGCAGGCTTGTAAGTGATGGACACGACAGCATGAACATAGATACTAGTCATGCGTGCTGATTCGCGTTGACGCAGTGCCAGTGTACCAATGTTACACGTCGTCACTGCCAAATCTTCAGCCCGCCGCCTCCTTGAGCAAGCTAACACCGCGTACCAGCAGAATAGCTTCTTTGGCGATGCCAACAGAGATACTGTCTGAGACTACCACTAGGAATAAAAGGGCCAAATAACACTTTTCCGAACACACACAAAACACATTTCATCATAGTTTTACACGCTAAGAACACAAAAATAACACAAACCCGTAAACTTTGTACACGTTTGAACACGTGTTATTTGGCCCTTTTTTTCCTAGTGTACTGTTGCCATTACAATTATTTTGACGCCGTCGCAACAATTGTGATGGCGACATTTACTGCCGAATGCAATGAATGCAATGCCGAATGAATGGCATCGCAGTTGGTATCGCCAAATCGGTGTTTTTTGCCAGCGGGGTACACGTCACCCCTGCTCGTCAAAGCAAGCGGACGTCTTGCACCAAATCTGGAGCGTCCGACTTCCACTCCCCAAACTCAAGAGGAGGCCGCAGCAACGGCAGGGAGACATGCTGCCTTTGGTGTCCGGAAATGCATTTTCCCCACTTCCAAGCATACGCTTGGACGCCGGCCTGAGTTGCGCCCTGTAGGACCGCGCTGGGTGGCATTATGAGGGACAGCAACGGGCAACCAGGGAAACACGAGGCGGCTCGCAATGTATAGGAGCATGACACGCATAAACGCGCCTAATGTGATCGTGTTCATGACGATTGTCGCGGAGAAGGCATAGTTGGGACTGATTACGCGATTTATATTAACATAAACATGCGTGCTCAACAAGTTTGTTGTATTGCCTTGTCGGTCTGGTCTGTTCAAGTAGACGCAAGCGGTTGGGCATCATCTAGTCAGAGGACTGGGCAGACCATTGGGTCCCGGCCCTGAGCTTTGGATCCCATGCCATGTCGGCCCTAGAGCCATAAGCGAAACAGGGAAGCGGCACTTCACCTGTGGAATTGTGTGCAATACTGCACAGGCTGCACTTCTTCATTAATTTCGGATTCAATCGGAGTCACCGTACCACCGACACGCTTCGGTGTTCTCCCAAGCTGAAACACGGTGCGCACCGAGAGGGATGTGGCGGCGAACGCCTCCCGTATACATCCTACTCTCCATGACTTCCAGGGATGATAACCAGCCCCTCCTACTCATTTCACACTGTTTATTGGGGGTTTACTCTTATTGAGGACGGGGCAATGTACCACGGGGCGAGGCCCACTGACGTGCGCCCGGGGTCCAAGACCCCGGGGATGTAAGGCACCTCGGCACCGGCACCCGCCCAAACCTGGTGCACCAGCTGAGTTAGGCGGGGAGCGGCAGAAGCGGACGGAAAGGAAACTCGAGCTGTCCAAGCGGAAGGGAAGAGGAGAAGAACTGCCCGTTGGGCCTGTCCTTTCGCGGGGGCTAACAAGGCAGCGGGACACGGATGCAAGGGCCAGATCGGTACTGCTCGTGAGTCCGTTGCGCTCTGTCCGCGATACAGGTTCTGGTGATCTGTTGGTCACGATACGGGGGTGCGTCCTCGGTGGCGGGGATCCCCGTGTTGGGGCAATCGGGGAAGCGCATGGCTGACCTGGAAAGTGGCAGCCGTTTTTGCGGGGGCCAGCATTTGGGAGGGTGCCCTGTGTTTGGTCAATTTGTGTGGGCCTGTTGTGGCAACGTTGGCGCGCAGTTGCGCTGAGGGAGCAGCTGCTCGCAAGGCGAGCAGTGCCTGGCGTTGCATGGTCAAAGCTGTGGAAGGAAAATCGTGCTCTTTGGCATAGCGTAACTGACGCCGTTTGGGCTGCTTGTCTCCGCATCGGCACTTGCCGCCACAGCGGAGGCAATCTCCAACGGAGGATGTTTCAGAGAGGATGTCTGCGTGCTTGAGTCCGCGCACCGGTCCCAGCTGCGCCACTGGGGACACCAACTGTGGTTGTTGTATGCATGCAAGTGGGCTGTATCCATGCATGCTGCACGTGTGCAAGTGCACTCAGTCGTTGAGTGCAGACCTTGCACGGCCCGCAATACCAACGCATCTTTTGGAAAAAAATGCCAAACAGCACCCGACATCAGGATGTTGTCGCTGGCAACCCACTGTTTGCTGGGCTGCAGCCGGGCGTCTGTGGAAAGGGTGTGTTCCAAGTGGTCACACTGCTGCCGCAGCACGCACTGCAGTGGCCTTGCCAAACTGTAACCTGCAATGTGCTGGAAGATTATTTGGCTTTTGTGAACATCACTGCCATGCAGGACACTGAAACTGTGGTTGTAAGCAGGTGCTTCCCAAGGGGTGGGGCGGGGGGTGGGCAATTGTGTAAAATGTGGGTGTGGTTGGGGAAGGGAAGGTATAGAGTCACAAGCAAGCAAGTCACGTTGCTCCCAGGGGCAGACGGTAGAGCTGAAAATCTGCTCTGTGTTGCCTGCCTTTTCTGGCTGCCAACAAAGTAAACACACACTTGGATTTTTGGTGCTCAGCATGAACTGCGTTAAAAACCATTTTGAAAGTGCCAGCTGACATTGTTGTGCTGCCAGGCACAACATACACACCTAGAGATGGGACAAGGTTTCCACTCCCTATTCTTCCTGTGTGCCGTGCTCTCCGTCATCTCCAAGGTCCATGGGCAAGCTCTCTCAGAATTGGACCAGGTTAGAGGGGTTCCAAAATGTGTGCCTCCTTGATGCGGCAGTGATTGGCAAACAGCATGCCTGAAATTCGCATATCTGGACAAAGCTGTGTGATTTGCATTTTGCCTGTCTTCTGTTCGGAACTCCACTATGGACTATAGGAAGCCACCTGACTCACTGTACACATTCACCCAGCTCAGGTCCAGCAATCAGCTTTGCAGTAAAACTCAACAGTTTTGTTCTTATGGCATCACATTGCTGGTTTCCCACTGCAGAGTTTGGTTGATGCTGCACGAGCTGGTGAGCTTGAAACTGTGGAGGCGTTGATCGACGATGGCGCAAGAGTCAATGTGATTGATGACTCTGGCACTACTCCCCTGCATTGGGCAGTGTTTGGAGAACATCAGGATGTGACCAAAAAGCTG